AATATGTGGACACCAGATCCTAGGAGATTAAATGGCTGGTTTTAGTGTGGTGGAATATTTGTTTCTGTGTTCCAATTATTAACAGTCATACATTACATATACTGATACCTCCAATCTACAATTTCTATGGCTATGATTTTTTTCCCCCCACAACATGAGTCCATCATTTTATAGTTGCAATACATCTGCAATATGGCATTAATTGCTTGATCCATTCCTGGAAAGGCTACAGTACACAAAAAGGCTACAGTGGTCAATATATTCTACTCTACAGCCCTCCGTCCTTAAATCTGTTTGCATGTTGCATTGCACAAAGTCAGTAGTCAGTTGGCAGCTTCTCTATGTTGTTTAATGATTGGCTGGGAGCTAAGTGGTGGTGACGGATTGTGATGTTGATGTATTTACCTCCTCTGTGCTGACAGGAAGCTGTTCTCGTGTCCTGATTGACTGGGTCTCATCACAGCAGCCAGCATTCCTTTGTTTAACCGGGTCAGGTTGGGGAGGGTTTGCTTACTCACTCGATGAGACGTCCATGAAGATGAGAGGAAGACCTTCCCTAATCTTGGCTGACATTGGCGGCTTGGCAAGCACAGCAGCTCACTGTTTCACTTGAAATGGATAAAACTTAACTTCCTGTGGGATAAAGAGTGCTGTAGTGACATACTGAACACAGGCTGACACTGCATGCTGCTAGGATGAAAGCTACCATCTATATATTTTTTCTTGCACATTCCTTGATTTAATGGAATTTGAACAGAAGACCTACTGAAAAAACTATATTTCACTTATACTAAAAGTCTTAAAAGTTTGCAGTAGACTATAGAGATTGTTATTGTTGTTGTTACTATTATTTTTATGAATAAATGTGTTTCTTTATAAAATAGTGTCAAATTCATTATATAAAACAAAGACAAAGGATGTAAGAGCAAAATACACCAGTCAGCGGAATATGAATATCAGAGAACAGATACACTGACATTTAATTATAAAAATCAAAGCAAAGCTGAATTAATTTATTCACTTTTATGGGATTTAACTCGTTGTTTTATTGTCCATTCAAAGTGTTTCCCACAAGTTGTACATGTTCAAGGACTTTTAGAGCCGTGGTAACCTTATATTACATAATAACTGATACTCATATAATTGACCCAGGTGTCAGCTGTTAGGTCAAAAATCACATCATGCAGGTTCAAAAGTATAGTTTAGTAATTTCAAGTTCTATAATTCTAATAATTTTGGGAAGCCCGCACTGAAACGAGTCGACACACAAGCGCGCGCACACACACGCCATTGCCTTGTCAGCTAACCCCCTCTAGTGCCGAGCATCCTGCACAGATGCGCTCAGTCTCCTTGTAGCCCCCGCTTCAGCTGCTCTACCGCTGCATCCAAATCATTTCTCTATTCAACGTTCCCATCTTGCTGCTGCAGCGGATCGAGTTGGAGCTGGCAACCCTTGGCACACTGCCGTACCAAAAGCAGGAGTGAAAGTCTGTCACGACTCCGTGCGCTACAGAAAGGCACCACATTGCGTTTTAATCTGTACTTGAGATTTTTTTGTTAATATAAATGCATCAACCGCGAATGAAGCGCATGGGAAATCTCCAAAGTAGTTAGGTGGGAAGTGTTTCTCACCTTGTGTGAAAATTTGATTTCACTTTAGATATTTTGCTGAGTTTATTCAAAACCTCTCCGTTCCGCGCCATAGCTGCCACTGCCACAAGGTAAAGAATGGACCATCTCCGGCTGTGTCACCCGGCAGCTCTCTACCATCGGGATCAAATGTAAAGACCAGGAGCAGCGGATCGGTGTTTCTGGACCTTCCAGTGACGTGTTTTTATCTGGCTACAGCTACCTCTCGGCTAAAAATATCCAGACATAGCCGGTGATAGATGTTGCAGACATGAGTTTTGGAAACAGATTTTTCTTCGTTTCACTCTTTCTTGGAACTGCCCTCACTCGTTTCTGTAACTGCAACCAAGGTAAGACACATCCACAGGGCGATGCGCTTCGCTCCTAACATTCCCGACTTTGTGTCGCGTAAATTCCAACAGTTGTATCATCTTTCAGTTCTTTTCCAATGGTTTTAAAATTTTTCACCACACTTACTGTCTTCGGACGCATATTGCCGTTACACTACTGTAGGGCAGCAAATTAGCCCGATGGGACAATCGAGTTCAGCCACTAGACAGGTATCCTTAGTTCGAGCAAATCATAACTCATAAGTCCCGCAAAAAGCCATTCGTGTGAGTTAAGAATGAGACGTTTCATAGCGATATTACTTTAAAAAAGACACCGGAAACGGCGAAAAGAAAGGAATAAAGGGGGGGAGAAAAAAAGAAACTTAGATATCTAATATAAAATGCACATTCTACGTTTGTTTTCACGGATTACGCATTTCTATCTTTATTATTTTTCAGTTCTTCTACACAGACAAGAGCTGTGGCATAATCCAGATTGTGACTTTAAGTTTATTATGTTGCTGTTAGAGTTCGAAGGATTTCCTGGGTTGAGCTTTTTTCTGAACCTGACAAAATTTTAAAAATGATAAAATTCCGCTGCTGAAATGACATGTCGGTCTGCTGTAATTACACATTATACATTACACGTACACGTGCAAACACACCGGCACAGACACAGCGGCAGAAGGATTTAATCATTAGGTGGGAGAACGTGTGTGCGTCTGGTAGAGTATGTGCATGTCAGTTTTTGCGCGGTGAGTGTTGCAGTAGATTTTAGAAACGTTTCGAGTCTGAGCTGTCAAAGAGTGCATATGTAAATGCACTTGGATATAGATGTGGTGCTGAATGTAAGCGCGTGTGTATGTAAGAGAAATTGCGTCAGGCAAACACACCTGCATGCATGCGTCTTTTGCTCTTGCATAAGTTTTCTGCCCACCTGTCTTTCTTTGTGATAAGTGACCACACTCACACAGATGCTTGTGTTAGAGTGTGGTCAAATGCTTGTGTGTCTGTGTGCGTGCGTTCCTCGATGGCTCCACGTGCACCTGCACACACAACTACTGCATCCGTGAGGTTTAAAATAGTCTTATTGATTGGGCACGAAATACAGCGGGATCTGCCCCCCAGGTTATATTTTATTGTTCTCTCTGTTCAATAAGAGCGATGCTACTCCCTGTTCTCCTAGACAGCTGCTACATAACAGCCTCGCTGTGTGTTTTTCTCTGCCACAGATTGAATGATTGAACTGATGTCTGCCTTCCACTGTACTTTAGTCTCTCATATTGACTGGTCTGGGACCTCGGTGGCACAATTGCAGTCGTTGTCTGCCACAGAGCGGTGCAGCTCAGCATGGGAAAACTGAAACTCTGATGACAAAGAAAAGTGTCTCGTAAGACGCCAAAGGGTTTCTCAAATAATTGCTTCTGTATTTGTCAAATTAAGACTACCTATGGTGTCTCTGTGATTTCACCTGCTTTTGGATGATAGAGTGTGGGCTATGCGTTCTTTCTGAACAGAGTATGAATCAATGTGGTAACCACTACTGGATAAGCAACTTTCACATTCAGTTCTAAAATCTAGTCACTGCATAACAACGAAGGGAAAAAATGAACAAATTTTTTGTTATTTGTTTTTTCCTTTCTGTTGGCAGGAGACAAAATCCAACCGAATTACATGGGGGGGGGGTTAGTGTAGATCGTGCTTTTGAACACCAACAAACAGAACTACAAAGATTTGGAATTTCATAGAAAAAAATGGTCAGACTTCATCTGTTAGAAAAACGATAAAAACAGCCACTTTTTGCTATGCCTCTGTTCACAGCAACCTATCGTATTCCTTACATGAATCCAACTAGGACTGCAGAGAGTTACTAACAAATCCCTACTCACTCACTGCCAAGTAGCACTTTTTCCCCATCAATAAATCTCTGCCCATAATACTATTTTTTATAAAATCAGTTTATACTAGCTAAATTAGATGACGATGTCTTTGTTCCACATTTGTGAAATTGTTCAGATTGTTTTTGGTTCTTTCCAAAAAATCTCAGGCATGAAAATCAGGAAAGCAATCCTTTCTTGTAATATGAAAGGACCACATGCAAATGTCTTTTTAAGCTGGTTAAATGCATCTCACACAAACACAAAGTGCTCAGCAAAGCATGGTGTAAAACTCTTGGCTTAGACTCTAATGGTTATTCATTGCAATACTCAAAAAGATCTAGCAAAAAAAACAAAAACAAACTTGAAAATTATGATTCAAGTCTTTGCATTGATTTGTGGTGATGTCTGATTAAAGCTTTTGCTCTCAATGCTGCTTCCTGCGGAGCACCTTTATCACCATTATCAGAATAAGGAGATATTTATCAGCAGTGTTTTGTCAAGAAAATCAATCAGCCAGCACCCAAAAAAACATAACTCTGCACCTTTAACTAACAGGCTGGTGTGTGTGTGTTTGCACATATGATAAGCAGGGGCAATATTGTGTATTTTGATATTAGTTTCAGTATATGCAGTTTTCATCAATCAGTCAAAATATAATGACTGTTAGAGAGATTTCCCAGGATTTTTCTTAATTTATCGTGAATATACAGGTACCATCATTGTTAAGTGGAACACAATTGCTACTATGTATAATAAAAGGTCTTTCCACAAATTTCTCCTCCCTAGACTGAAATGGCTCCAGGCTGGAGACTGTTAATTTTCCCAGGGCTTGACCTCTTCAAAAGCATTCCTGTATTCACATAATTATCATTGACTTGCACGGAATGACACATTTTTGTCCACCTGGTGAACAAGATTCATTTCATACCCCTGATGAAAATGACTCTTCAAAGTCACGAATGAGCAAGAAAAAAACACCTCAGTCCAAAATATTTTAAGCAGTGTTGCTTCTCAGACTGTTGTGGCCATTAGGCCTTCCCTGTACAGAATGAATGAACAACTGTTTTCTGGGTTCTGCTGCAGGAACAAAGTAGGCGCTTTTCTTTAAAAGCTGCAAACGCAATCGTGCTAGGTTGGACCTAATATGCATATCATATAATATCATTTTAACACAGCATAAGATTGTGTGCAGCCACATTGATGAATAGGTGTGCACAAGATGATGACCGTGAGCGCTTCTCATGCATCTTTTTCAGTGGCTCAGCTCACCAGAGAATGCAAACAGCAGTAAGATGTACATAAGATTTTATCCAGCCTATATCATTTGTAATTTCACAGTTAGATTTAGACACTTCAATTCCCAATCAGACGAGAGATCTCTGTCAAGTGCAGCAGGTTACAGCTCTCTTACACACTGCAGCGCGAAACAGCAAAGACATACAAGACAGACTCAAACGTGTAAATGGAATACATTGAAAAGTATGTTTTTGTCCCTTTGTTTTTTTTTTTTTATTCTTTCAAATGACAATTGCAAAATAGCTCTGCTCTCTTTGGCACTTTTGTGGGTGTATCTGAATGTAGCCGTGAATGCCATGCTAAAATTACCTATGTCTCAGTGAAGGGAATTTTATCACTTTATAGCAAATTGATGAAGTCAGCAAGATTAAATATTCCATGTATGAAAATGGCTTATTTCCAGAATCAGTCATTTTGTATTTCCAGAACGTGATGCTGAAACCTGAAGCCCATATTGTGGAAGGTTGTTAAGAAATGTAGATGAAAGCTTGTTTTATGTCATCTACACAGTGTTGAACACTGTTAAAAACAGTGTTTTTTTTAACAGTGTTAAAAACACAGACTTTTTGAATTTCCAGTTCTTAACTTTAGGTCTTCCATTTCTAACATCTTCTTTTTTGTTATTGTGTATTTACTTATTTTTGTATGTTTTTAAACTTGATTGAAGAGGATATAATTTATCATGCTGAATTCTTAGTTTTAGTGTTAAACTGACTTGCCCATTTAACTGCAGCATGATGCACTGACCTTTACTATCATATAACTTGGGATTATTATGCTACAAATCTTTAGGTTTTGAACTGATATTCTGCTTTTAACAGATCCTGGGAATGATGGGGAGTGGGCCAGGGTGTGAGTTTTTTCAGATAAAACTTGGATTGATCTTCTTTTCATGGCATAAAGGGTAATTAATGATTCATTTATTAATAAAGGTCTGCTCTTTTTAAACCTTTGGTCAGTACTACCTACACTCTGATCAGAGATGGCAGTGCAGGTGTTTTGCATTCAATAACTGATGGAAATCACTTGTTATGACATTATTGCTTTACACGTGTCTATAACCACATTATGCTCAAGATGGATCCTTCAGCATCCAACCTGTGTTGAATACTGGCACGTATTCCCTTCGCTAATCTCTCATTTAAATACACTTAGAGCTATTATCAGATCCAATGAAACACATTTCAAAGATTTGCTTTGCTGACATTTATTATGTTGTTGAATGTTTGGTCTTGTTTGTGAAAATGCACCGAAAAGTCTGTCATGCCTGTCAGGTTGCCTTTGTTATGGATAGTTTTCTATTTCAAAGCATATCATCTCGTCATGTGTTTCAAGTGCAGCACTTTGTTTACACTACTAGAGGACAATATGCAATCCTGACTGAAATCATCATCCAAATCAATTTTCTAGTGTTTGTTCATCAGTTGTTATTGTTTTTGAGGCTTTGGGTTTACGAGAATGTGTTTCTATGAAGCTTGCAAAGCGCAAGGTTCTATTAATATTTGGAATCAAGGCCTATTTTCCTTTTTGAGCTAATTTAGTCTGTAGACTACGTCACTACTTTAATAATAAGAAACGATGATGCTTTCATTATAATAGGAAACAGTGTTACTACAAAACATATGTCTCCTATCACACTTTACTTAAATATCACACTTTATTCAATACCCTAGTGTGCCAAATCAACCAAAGGATGTATGTTTGAAGACCTGCACTGTGTTTTGAATTCATACAACTCTTTTAGATTTTCACAGGACAGACACCTCTGTAATCCAGAAGAGTCTAATGTAGGCCCTCTATTCTACCAAAAGTGCACTTAACCTCCTAAGACCCAAACTCTTCCACAGCATGCATTTTTAATTTCTCTTTGATATTTGGGCATATTGGGGCCCGATGAATGTAAAAACAAAGAATTAACAGATTTTTTTTTTTACCTTATTTTTGCTTTTAAGAAAAATAAGAGCCACATATTTGTTTAAAAATTGGATAGAACAGTAGCAGTATAATGTCCTCGTAAGTGGATATCAGGCCCATGTAGAGCAAAATTGAGTATTTTGGTCTAAATAACCCAAAGTGTGATGTCCACATATGTGGACGCCAAGTCCTAGGAGGTTAAAGACGCCTCCTTTTGTCTCTTTACATTCTATACTTTAAAGAGACAGTATTGCACACAACTGCAGACCGCTTTTCATCACTTTTGCCAGAACACTCATACTGCTTCCATATCTAATTGGCATAAAGTAGCACTTAAATAGACCACCTTTGGGTCTGTTGTTTGGGCTGCTGCTATTTTGGGGTATTTGTGTTGCCTGCAAAGGCTGTAGGCCAGACAAGAGATGTCATCATTCTAGTGAAGCTCCATATATTTATGAGTTGGCCAGCTCATGATCTATTTATATCTAACCAGAGGAAGTCCCAGAGGGCCTGCAGCTCCAGGCAGCATTTGTGGGTCCTTCTCAGAAAGACAACTCTATGAAGAGAGCTATAGAAAGGGAGAGAAGATGGGCTGGATTAGCACCCAAGATACATTGCTCAGTATATACAGCATATACTAAAATATATGCACACCATCAATTACAAGCGCGCACACACTACTCAAACTACTTTCTAGCTAAATTTCACAATACATTTTTTACTGTAAATCTTTAAATGAGTGAATATGTTCAAAAAAGCATCAGAGAAATGAAGGCACTTTTTTTATTATGGTTTTTGAGCTTAGGTGCTATTGGCAGGTCACACCTTTAACTCCTCTACTGTCAGCTGAACTCCAGAGGTGTTTCATTTCTAAGTATCCTTTGTCTGGCTCACAAATAAAGAAGAAATTTCATGGTGCCACACTTTTCTTATAAAGGTGGGAACACAAGGCTTGAACCGAACAGTGCAATGTTGTCAGCCGAATACATTCACACTGCCTCCTACTGTAATGTACATCAACTATTCTTTATATATGGTGAGGGGAGGTGTGAATCTCCTTACTGCGGTGAACGACGCAGCCAACTCTCAGTAATTAGGCTATTCTCGAGGGATTGTGCTGCTTACCTGCCCACAGTAGCCTAATGGTGTCCATTAACAGCATTGGCAGAGACACCTAGTCTCCAATCTGGCATTGACACTGACATGGCACAGACCTGGCATTGGTGGGCAGAAATAAACACACAGAGATGCTGGAACTAATCCAATACCACCCGTTAGCAGAAATATTAAACTCAGCCAGTAGTGTAGTGAAGATGGGATTTGAAGATGAAAGGCTCAGTATGGTGTCCTTTCTTTTTTTCCGGGGGGTGGGGGG